ATAAGCAAATAAAGAACATTTAGAAAGACTCTGTATTTTTGTTTTATATAAAGCAAATATTTTAATTTTTGTGAACAGGCAAGCAAGTTTACATTTTTAACCTGCACAAAGAGTATATCATTTCTCGGTTCACAGGAACAGCTGCTGGCAAGATCAATTAAAAGAAAAGCCATTCTATCCCCATTGGCAGCAGTTTCTAAAACTTGCTTCTACTTCCTGTAGTCTTGCAAACTTCTGAATCTATTTCCAAGACATAACTCTGTTTTTGCAATTTGCTTCAGGACTTAAGCTGACAAGTTTTGTTTGTCTTCAAGTATAAGAATATTTGGTTTTTTAAATTTCATCCAATAAAGCAAATTCTGATGAAGCAAAAACCTTATTGAGTACAGCAGATGACCAGGTATCTAAACAATTATATTCCAGGATATATTTTATTTTTTCTGTGACGTACGTTTAACTTTAAAAATGAATTTGCATGCAATGAACTGTATTAGTTATTAATCATCTTGATTTTAAAGAATCCCCTTAATTTATGTTCCTCTGATCTGACACTTCACCATCACTGTTTTTAGCATGGTGAATAACATTGATATGTGTAAGGTTCTCCCTCACAGCTGCTTTAACGCTCCAATCCCCCAGTCAGTACGAAACTATGTTAACATAAATTGCATTGTCCCGATGGCTGAATTGTAACCTGGACATTAATGGGGCTGGTATTGGCACAGGACAAGCAAATGAGGGGATCTGTGGATTCCCTGGCTGTTTATCCTCCCATCAGCAGGAAAAACAATCACCAATTGCTCTCCCAAATGTCACGGGGCGAGTTGCTTGAATTTGTGCAGACATTTAGGATGGGGGTGGTTAGGTTGGTTACTTTTCAAGTAGTCCGAATGTTTTAGGTTCTGTGCTGGAGATTTCTCCCTTGGGCTTTTTCTGATTATTAGACAGGGTAGATCAGGTAGATCAAACTGGGGGCCTGGGGGCCCGATGCATCATTTGCAGGCCACACCCACCCCGGCTCCACGAAGGGGAAAAAAATCATTGCTGGGATTCAAATTTTTTTACTACTGGTTCTGTGGGTGTGGCTTGGTGAGTGTGGATTGGTGGGTGTGGCAGGGGAAGGATACTGTAAAATCTCCATTCCCTCCCCACTCCTGGGGGAAGTTTACTGCAAAATCCCATTCCCTCCCCACCCCATTAACCTGCTTTCCAGCTCTGTTCTCCTGTGCAGGGCAACAAAAGAAGACCCAGCCGATCAGCTGGGACTCGGGAGGCAGAGAATAAATGGGGGCGGGGCCAGTCAGAGGTGGTATTTGCTGGTTCTCTGAACTAGTCAAAATTTCCACTACTGGTTCTCTAGAACTGGTCAGAACCTGCTGAATACCACCTCTGGAAAAAATGTCATGAAACATCACAAGACAGCAACATGATGCCATGAGTTTGACACCTTTGGGGTAGATGATGGAAATAAATAAATTATAATGTAACCTTAAGTGTGTGTGTATGTGTGTAAATATACTTATAACTGCTGTTAAGATTGGAAGCTACTTTATTACTATTTATTACTATGTATTACTTTTTTCTTTCTCTTCTATTTCTTTTTCTTTATTTTTTTTTCACTTTTTCATTACTTTCCCTTTTTTTTCTTATCTTCAGTTCAAATTTTGTTTTGTTTTTATTCTGTTGAAAACTTAATAAAAGTTATTTTAAAAAACCCCAAAGGGTATAGAATTAAACAAAGTACTCTCTGAGAAGGAATAAAAACTGTAAGGAGTATGGTCATGAAAAGAAATCCTTGTTGACAGAAACAATCAAAATCTAGAATGTTGCCAAGATGGGACAGGTCACAGAAGTTGGTTCTCTTTTCCAATTTAAATCAGTTTCCTAGGCAGGACAAAACCTGCTGTCTGAAGAAAAAAGCTGCCAATTAAATTACCAGTTTAGCATGATTTCAAAAGTGTGCTAAAGCCTTTGTTTAAAAAATAGATCTAATATGAGTTGGAAGAATGCTACATCCCCGCATATAAGAAGGCACATAATCCCTTGTGAGTATTTTTTGAAGTGCTGATCAGGCATTATTTGTCTGGCCTTTCCTACTGCTCAAACTGAAATGGCCATGGAAGGCAAATCCTGGAGAAGAAGACGGCATGCCCATAGACCAAAGTTCCTGATTGTATTGTCACCAGCATTACCAGTGGAAATTATGTTTATGGAGATTCTTAATTATCCAGGTCATGGTTGTCCATGGACTTTCTTTGTTTTTTTCCTGGAAAGCATTGTGCTTCTCATCTAAGTCCAATTGCCATTTGGAAAAACACCTTTGGGCCAGTGGAAGCGATGTAAATATTTTTTGTTGTTCTAATAGTCTTGTTCGGCTCATCATATTATATATATTTTAATGAAGTATATTTTTTTTTCTGAATGCTTATTTTTGTGGTATGCTGCCCAGAATCATAATTGAATTGGGCAGCTTTATAAATGCTTGGAATGAATGAATGAATGAATGAATGAATGAATGAATGAATGAATGAATGAATGAATGAGATGTTTATGAAGATACCCAGTCTTCCAGGTCATCGTTGCCCCAAAGGTGCTTTTTCAAGAGGCAACTGGACTTTCTGGTTTTTCTTTGAAGATATTTCACTTCTCATCTGAGAAGCTTGTTCAGCTCAGAGCTGAAGAAAAGCTTTAATCAGACCAATGCGATCATAGCTATTATCGGGGGGGCATTCTACCAGTTCGCATCTATTCTCTAGAACCGGTTGTTAACACTCTAAGCAGTTCGGAGAACAGGTTGTTAGAAGAAATTACTGGCCTAATCCTGTAAGGAAGGCAGGAAGGAAACATTCTGGTGTTGCTTACAGAAACTGCCTCTCTGTTAACCCTTATTACATTCTTGGCAGGACAAGACTTCCTGTCTCAGGAACTTCTCTGGAGTTTTTTCCCCCTCCTTTGCTGGTACTTTGCTTGTGTGGAGTGACCATTCAAAGTTACAATGGCACTGAAAAAAGTGACTTACAACCATTTTTCACACTTACAACTGTTGCAGCATCCCCACAATCATGAGAGGCAGGAGATGCATGCCTCGATGTAAGTGATATAGAGTTGGCCACACCCAGCCAATAACATGACCACCAAGCCATGTCCACCCAGTCACATGACCACCAAGCCACGCCCACCAACTAAGCCACGCCCACAGAACCGGTTGTTAAAAATTTTGAATCCCACCCCGGCTATTATGTCAGATATCTTGTCTAATACAAGGTTTGTTTTGCTAATCGTTAGACAGAGGTAGATTTATTTTTCTGACAAAATGTAGAAAGCTGCTGTCTATTTCAAAACTACACCTAGTCAGTTACTCCCTTTCTTTTCAACCTCTGTGTCTTCTATGATTTTATCTTTTCCACAACAGTCCAATATTTTGTACTTCCTGAGCTTGCTCGGTTTTACTGAGTTTTTTTGGGTTTTAGTGAATGTAAGTTAAGTTTAAGTAAATATTATTTATGCCTAAGTCATAGTATTCTCATAAACTGGCTGATACCTTCCCTTTTTGTATTAGTATGAGAGAATGTCACCTTCTGATGAGAATGTGATAGAACACAGGAGATCTGGTTGAAGTGCAGTATTGGAAGCAAACTCTGCGCATAGCCTGCAGCTCAATCCAGACAGGGCTCAAAGTTAATTCATCCTTTCATCCTTCCAAGGTCTGTAAAATGCAGACCCAGACTGTTGGGGCAATATGCAAATGAAATATGCAAATTGTAAACCATCCAGAGAGTGCTGTAAAGTGTTATTGGGCGGTATATAAGCCTAAATGCTAATGTTAATTTCTATTGTTTTCTTTAGAAACCTTTTCAACTGCTCCCTTCTTCTTTAAAACTATGAAATTTGTAGGGCTCTACCTTTATAGATTTTAGGAAACTGATTAAAACCTGCCTTTTACACCAGTACCTGGTGATAGGTGTGTTATGAAATGGTCCCACTACGAATGTAGGATATAGAGGTTAGTTTAGGCCAGGGGTATCAAACTCCCATCATGACGGCATCATTATGTGACTTATCGTGACTTTTCTCCCCTTCGCTAAACTGGGTGTGGGCAAGCCGCGAGTTTGACAGCCCTGGTTTAGGCTACAGATATTTTGTTTATTGTTCCTGGCACAGAATTATGGATTATTGATTATGTGTATGGTAAATCTCATTTTATAGAATAGGATATGTATGCTCCTTTGAGTTAGTTATATGGGGGCAACATAAAAAAGCCCAGCAAAAATAATGAAATAAACCTATGAACTTTGAATTTATAGCAGGGGTTCCCAACGCTCAGTCTGTGGCATGCCAGAAACCAGGTGGCACAAACAAGCGAAGCCCCATCTGCGGGATGCAGGCAGCACACGAAACTACGCCACCTCCAGTCCACAGAAAAAAAACACTCTCTCCATGGAACCAGTCCCTGGTGTCCAAAAGGTTTGGGGGCTGCTGGTTTTTAGTGTTGGCCAGTGTGAGCAAATGGTTTTGGACAAGAGATGCATCAAGTTGTTATAGCTTTATCAGCATCCAGGAATATGCTGGAGAAAATGGACTTCTGCTTTGGTCCAGCAAGAGAGGGAGGCTTTAGAAAGGTAAGAAGATCTGCAGACGAATGCACTCTTACATGATGCTGAAGCTCAACTTGTTTCATTGGCCCGAGACCAAGCTATTATTTTAGAAAGGACTTTGAGGCATTGTGTACTCCCCCACTGTTTGTTCAAAATGCATTCTCAGGGGATTTGTGCTCTCTTGTTTCATGAGCCTCCACATTGTTGATGCTGACTGACGTTGAAGCCCACCAGCTGGCCATGTCCATCACTGAAGCCAAGTCGGAGGATTCCTGCTTATACTTAGAACCCACGAGTCAGTGTCCAAGCAGCACTTTGCAACAAACCATGCTTTAAAACTAAGCAACTCGAAGAAAAATGCTGAAGGGGACAAATCCTCTCCCTCAACCCTTTTTCAGATAAATCATGAAAGATTGGCTAAACATTCCTCTTATACAGATCTTCACCCTGGCTGCCTTCAGCTTGACAGAGAAGCTCCCTAAAGGTAGGTATAAATAACGGGTCCTCTCTTTGCTTTGCCACTGGTTAGATATTTATTTTTGATCTTGGACCTGCCCGGGCTCTTGGGTGAATATATAAGCTCCTGGGATTTGTATAAATGAGCTGGTTTGCCTGTGAGTGCATCTGTAATTGCCTTTGGACAATCACCATGGAAGAACTTGTCTGTACATATATCACGATGACTGGTGCTCTTATGATTTTCCCTGTGTAGGTGTTTTTGTTTATAGTATGTATCAAAAACCATTTTCCAAATATAAATAGCCAGCAATGTTGAATGTTTACTTGAGAATAAATCCACTTAACACAGTTGGGACTTCTAAGTAAATGTGCATAGATACAGAGATACTGGAGGATTTTGAGTGAGATAGATGCTTGTTCGAAGTGACATAATACACATCTCCTTGATTAATGTTCAAATTAGAATTTTGAGGATAGCTCTCGGCATTGTTGCTTGCAAAGAAGGCCCATTAAGGTCATGTTGCTGACAACCAGGTGTTACACAGCAAGCTCCTCTACAGATCAATTAAACTGGAAGTCTTGCTGGAATTTACTCCCAAATAAATTGGTATCCAGTTTGCAGTTGTAATGATTAGTTGGCTTCGCCATTTCTGAAAAAAATTTGCTGCTTTTTTCCAACACTTGACCTATATCATAAATTGTATTTGACCAATAAGTATGTTCAGAAATGTCTGCTGTATGAAAAAAAACAAAAAAAACAAATCCATACTGGAATTCCTTTTATGGATTTTTAAGAACTTAAACATAGAATATGATGGAGCATATTTGCAGGACAAAATAACAGTGACTCAGAAATACAGTATATGCCTCTTCTCTATGATAGATAGGTACCCAGATGAAGGAAAAATCCTGTTGTCTTTATATCTATATTGATTACAACAATGCCAACAATTAAAAGAGGAAATCCATCTTATTTCAATGTTTGTAAGAGATTTAAGGGGGCTAAAATATATGTGATGAATAAAGTACACAGTGCTAAATTCTTTGTTTGCTCTGCCTTCTATCAAATTGCTTTCCCTCTCATCAAAGAGAAATTTAGGAATCTTATACAGATCTTTGCCATATAGTTTGAAACTTGAAATTTTGACTAACTGTGGAAAGGGAAATTTTCAAATCAGACCAGAGTGGCTTTCATTACTCGGAGCTGCAGTCTCAGCATTTTTGAAGAGTACTTACAAAGGAAGAGTGATACAAGAATAGTAGCATTTTGCAATATTATGAATTTTTGGAGATTTTCTTCTCTACTCATAACATGCCCATTGGGATGTGTCAGAAAGAATGCCAAATGCCAGGGACAACAGTTAATATCTTTTAAAGAATTGGGTTTTTTTTTCTTTTGGCGATTGTGTGCAGTATGTCATATCCCGCCAAGAACAAAACAATTTATAAATTCTTTAGATATCCAGCAAACACAATTATATGGTACGAAAACATTTTCATGTATTTTCAAGGCCACGCTGGCCCACCCACCTAACCAGAGTTACATTTATCTCTGCTAATGTAACACGTAATATATACAGAGCTTCCAGTGATAAAGAAATTAGGTATGTGCAGTAGAATTAAAGTTCCCTGCTTATATAAATATTGAAGAAAGCTAAAAGGCCTTTCTTGTATCCTTTCAAACAGTTTGTGCTAAAGGAGGTGATCATTACATTGCTTGGCACTATCATGTTCTTTAGCTGTGTCAGACTATATAGATAGCCTCCCCTTGGATCTAGAGTTGGCCATCATAACATAGCTAACTATGATTTTTGTCATCTGTCATGAAGCTAAATTACACTGAAGTGTGATTTAGTGATTCATCCTGACCTCAATCTTTGCTGTTAGTAAAAATGGTGTTCCTGACCAGCAATCCTTTGTTCAGAATGTTATTAACTTAAAAAACAATTTGTATCCTGCCTTCCAATCCATAAAGGGTCAAAGTGGCTGTAATTTATTTTTAAATAACACAGATAGTCACAACCTTTAAGATAGGATTTCAAACCATTGCAGAAACTAATTCAAATTGAAATGATGTAGCTGCAAGGAGGGTACGGATTCCTTTTCCAAGAAGAGAAAGTACGGAGGAAGAGTGTGGTTCCCATTTTTTCATATCTGAGACCCCACATAGAAGAAGACCTGCAGGACGGGATCTCAGAAAATGAAGCCATCTTTTAAAAAGCCTTTTAATGTCCAGAGATGACAATGATCAGAAATGGATCATGTTTACAAAGATGCATGGGACACTCAGAAGCACTACAGCAAAGCTGAGAATCCTTCTCGCATTCCAGAAGGAGAGAATAAGATAATACATGAATGCATGCATGCATTTGAATGCCTTTGCTCTGCATCTTGACTATTTTTCAGTCAAGTGTAATTGGTTTTGGATTTGTACAAATTTGCTTGGTCAAGCTGCAGGATTTAATGTGAAATTTATTCACTTTCTTATGCTGCTTTTGTGGTGTATTTTGTCACAGCTCCAATCATCACCACCCCTCTTGAGACTGTGGATGCACTGGTTGAAGAGGCAGCCACCTTTGTGTGTGTCGTAAAATCCTTTCCCCAGGCAGAAATTACCTGGACACGTAATAACATTCCTATCAGGTATGAATTAAATGCGCAAAAGAACACAGAGTGTGGGTGCTCTCAGAAAATATCACTATTGGTCTCTACCAGTGGTAGGATTCAATTTTTTTAACCACCGGTTCTGTGGGCATGCGCAAAACGCATGTGCGCAGAAGGTTTGCTACTGGTTTTCTCCTGCAATCTTGCACTCTCCATCTGTGTTAAACAGCTGACGTGCAGCAATCCACTGTGCTGCGCGAAGCAGCTGAGCTTGAAAACCAGGTAATAAAGGTCAGAATAGAGCCAGGGTGGGTGGGTAGGCCCAGCAGCTGATTGGTTCGCTCACAGATGATCCTTGGAGCTACCAGTTCAGCTGAACCGGGCCAAACCGGTAGAATACCACTCCTGGTCTCTACCCATAATATTATACCCCATCTTAATTCTATTCACCAGTGCAGCATTCTATAAAGTCAATTCATGCATTATTTTTTATAGTTGCATGATAAATATAAAATGTATAATGGTATTTGGGAATGACATTGGGAAGACAGGAGGAACAGCTGCAGAGTAGACAAAAGTCAGATAAGAGGCTTAGCTTGTAGAAGTAATTTGGACATGGCAAACATCTCGGAAGGGCCCCACCTTTTGAAACCAGCTATTGGATTGTAAAGGCCAAGGGTGTGTGTGTGTGTGTAGAAAGTTATGTTTAGACTTGCACTTTTAAATAAACTCTTCCTTGACGCATCTTAATATGTTCTCAGATTTTTTGATACTAGATATGCCATACGAGAAAATGGGCAACTCCTAACTATTCTGAGTGTGGAAGACAGTGATGATGGGATATATTGTTGTACTGCAAACAATGGTGTAGGAGTAGAAGCAGAAAGCTGTGGGGCATTACAAGTGAAAATGAGTAAGTATACCTACCCTTTTACTGAATTAAAAGTCACTGAAAGTTCAAGTGAGCTAGAAATCAAGGCAATATTTTACTTGAGTATTAATACTTTTATTTTGTATGAATTTAAATTTACGCAAAGTACAAGCAAAGGAATAAATGATCAATACGTATAACCTAATATCAACAGTAAAATAATACTGTCATGGATCTGGCGATGGACCACTCTCGGGAAATGAGTTCAGAGGAGGAGGATAAGTTTGAGTTGGCAGAGGAAAGTGCAGAGTTGCATGATGGCCCGGATCAGGGCTCAGACAGTGGTAGCCTGACGAAGCAGCCTCAGCTGGGGCGATTGGATGAGCGACAGGCTGAGGTTGAGTGAGCTGCACCACAGCTGCAGCGCGTTGGCCAGCTGCCACCAGTTAACAATGAGGAGGAGGTGGAGTTCACACTTCCTCCCGATCCAGGGACATGTAGGGCAGATAGGAGGTAGACGGAATGTTGGTCAGCTAGGCTACTTGTGAGGAGGCAGCCCCACCTCTCATGAAGGTGTCACCTACTTAATCCTGCCCTGAGGACTTGAACGTTGCTGGAGCAACAGGCCCAGTTCCTTACCTTGTGTGCTTGTGCTGTTATCCTGATCCGTTTGACTCGTGGGTTGTTTCCTGGATTTTGTGTGTGCCCATTGGACTCAGTTTCCCCAGAGAGTCTTGTTGTGCTGAGATCGGAAACTGTATTTGAGCAACATGGGTGCTTTCTGAGGGCTTGATTGTGGGGTTTGAATAAACATCTTTAGAACTGTCGCTATGTATGCATGTATGTCTGTGTGAAGAGAGCGGGGCAACACAGATAAAGCTCGTCTTCAACTTACAACAGTTTGTGTAGTGATGGTTCAAAGTTACAACAGCACTGAAAAAAGTGACTATTTCACCATTGCAACATCCCCATGGTCATGTGATCAAAATTTAGACACTTGGCAACTGACACATATTTATGATGGTTGCAGTGTCCCAGGGTCATGCGATCATGTTTTGTAACCTTTTGACAAGCGAAGTCAACGGGGGAGCCAGATTCACTTAACAACCATATTACTAACTTACAACTGCAGTGAGTCACTTAACAACTTGACTTAAGAATTGTTGTAAAATGGGGCAAAATTCACTTGCTTAGCAACAGAAATTTTGGGCTCCATTGTAGTTGTAAGCTGAGGATTATCTGTGCACAGGTAGTCTTTCATTTATGGCTACATCAGATTATCCACTAGTCACTGCAGTCATAAATCAAGTCAGACCTGATTTTGCAACAATTTTTACATTGGTCATTAAGTGAAACACACAGTTGTTAAGCGAATCACACCATCATTAAGTGAACCCAGTTTCCCTAATGGACTTTTTTTTTTTTTTTTACTGAAAATCGTACTCACAAAACATGATCATGTGAGTGCAGGACACTGCATCCAATCTTAAAGGCGAACTGGTTTCCAACCTCCAAATTGCAATCCCATGACCACAGGGATGGAATGACAATTGTATGTGCCAGTACATGTTGTAAGCAATGGTGGGATTCAAATTTTTTTACTACCAGTTCTGTGAGCATGGCTTGGTGGGTGTGGCAGGGGAAGAAGGATACTGTAAAATCTCCAGTCAGAAATGGGTTTTGCTGGCTTTCCAAACTACTCAAAATTTCCGCTACTGGTTCTCCAGAACTGGTCAGAACCTGCTGAATACCACCTCTGGAAGGTTACTGCAAAATCCCCACCCCACTAACCTGCTTCCCAGCTCCGTTCTCCTGTGCAGGGCAACAAAAAAAGGCCCAGCCGATCAGCTGGGACTCAGGAGGCAGAGAATAGATGGGGGTGGGGCAAGTCAGAGATGGTATTTGCCGGGTCTCCAAACTACTCAAAATTTCCACTACTGGTTCTCCAGAACTGGTCAGAACCTGCTGAATACCATCTCTGGTTGTAGGTCATCTTTTCCAAGCCATTGTAACTTTGAACTATTGTTGAATAGTTGAAAGTCAAAGACTACTTGCTATAAAGCAATATATCTAATTTATCTAATCCTAACTGTACTGCATTTCAATAGGTATCAGGTACGGTTACTCATTAAGTTTTTCCAGCTTCATAAAGATCCCCCCAAAAAGAGGAAGAAGAATTACATATAAATGTCAGAAGATCATATTCCAAGCATAGCTCAATGGAGGATTTGATACCATAGAGTAGGATGAGTTAGATGGGAGAAAGCTGTGAAATGTAAGGTGGCTATTCTGAAACAAAGAAAAACTAGTAGATCCTGATTGCATGATTGCTCTGAGTGCACAGAAATATGAACTGTAATCATATTTTTCAACAAATGGCCCAGAAGATCAATACAAGTTTAAATTGGGGAATGCTTCTGAACATCTGAGCAATGTAAGAATTGGCTTCAGAACAAGATTTAAACCCTCTGTTAAATTTTTAGAAGGAAAAATACCAAGTTTTATTTTACATGCTGTTTGCTGTTTTACCGTCATGTCTTTATTTGGGAAATCAGTACTAGCTTAAACTTTTTGAGCAGTGGCAATATTGATGTTTTCCCCACACCAGCCCATAATTCTTTCCTCATAATGTTGAAGTTGCAATCTTAGTTAACTTTTCCTGAATTTCCATGATCTACCTACATATATTTTCCTCCAAACTTGCTTCTACTCTCCTTTGAAAAGCCTTATAAGCCTTATAAGTCTCTATAAATGTTTGGGAGATAGCAAGCTCTTCAATTGCTTTGCAAGAAGTGAGTAGAGATGTTGATGACAAAATGGACCCCATCATCTTGTTAAAGTATAATGTGACTTTCGCACAAGGGTGTCCAACCTTGGCAACTTTTGAGACTTGTGGACTTCAACATGTTGGCTGGGAAATTCTGGGAGATGAAGTCCACAAGTCTTAAAGTTGTTAAGGTTGTACTCCACTGTGCTAAAGGTTGGTCCCTCCTACTTTAGCATATTTGACTTCGTTTCATTTTGATCCTTAAAATTGTAGAACCGAAAATAACTCGTCCACCTTCAAATCTGAAAATCATTGAAGGATTAAAGGCTGTTTTCCAATGCACTACAATGGGAAATCCCAAGCCTTCAGTTTCCTGGATCAAAGGAGAAAATGTTGTAAAGGTGAGTATTGTAAGTATTTCATTATAATCTGCATCTTTTTGCAGAACTGGTTTGAGAAAAAATAATGTATTAGTTGTTATTTCATAGAGAGGATGAGTGATGAAGGTACTGGACCAGAAACCTAGAATCTGTGGATTCTAGTCTAACCTTAGACATGAAAACCAGGTGGGTGACTTTGATCTAATTATTTTCTGTCAGCCCAAATCATTTTACAAGGTGGCTGTTGTGGGGAAACTAGGAAGGGCCATTATGTAAGCTGCCTCAAATTATACAAATGAAATAGGAATATAAATCAAATAAATAAATAGATCAGCCTGGCTCACAAGCTATATTCTACCTCATTTGACTTGAAGCTTTACATTTTGTGGCAGGAAAATTCTCGAATTGCTATTCTTGAATCAGGCAGTTTAAGGATTCACGATGTGCAGAAGGAAGATGGTGGACACTATCGCTGTGTGGCAAAGAACAGTCTCGGGACAGCCTACTCTAAACCTGTAATTCTGGAAGTAGAAGGTGAGTGATCCATTTGGTCATGTGTCCACTCAAATACAGAATCTGCATTCATCTGACATCCGTACTGCAAATATATTTTTGCAAAAGTGTTCAGGACAAAAATGGAAGTCTTTGAGCCCAGCTTTGAATCTATGAGTGAATAGAAATTAACAAATCTAATCTATGAGATTAATCTAATCAATCTAGTAGCACTAGCAATAGCACTTAGACTTATATACAGCTTTATAGTCCTCTCTAAGCGGTTCACAGAGTCAGCATATTGCCCCCAACAATCTGGGTCCTCATTTTACCCACCTCTGAAGGATAGAAGGCTGAGTCAACCTTGAGCCTGGTGGGATTTGAACTGCCAAACCGTAGGCAGCTGGCTGCAGAAGTAGCTTGCAGTACTGCACTCTAACCACTGCGCCACAGAGGCTCTTCATCATTGGCCTTCTTACCAAGGGTTTTGTTTGTCTGTCTGCAAGGAATTCATGTTAATGGTAAATTCTAAATAAATATACTTCTAAAAGACATACATTTGGGAATTTATCTTATAACCTTGCTTCCCATGGGATAATATTTATGGCTTTTCCAGGATTATTTGCATATGCATATGTGTGTGGATTAATATATTTGGATACATGTGATACATTATTCTGAATGACAAGGCTGATATCAGTTCTTGGTTTACTCTAGTTCTGCTTCCTGGAATACTAGATTTGTCTTTCTTAACTGGATGACTTCCAGAGATGTTGGATTTTAATTCTAGAAGTCTCAGCCAGCCTGGCCATCAATCACGCTGCAGGAAAATTCCTGAAGTTTTAGTTCATGATATCAGAAAGTCTTTAGCTCAACAAAGGAAGGTTTAAATCTTCCAACCATCCGGGTGAATAATATACCTCATTAATGACTTATCCACAATAGAAATACTAATATACATTAGTATATATTGTGTAGTATCATGCAAACTTAAACATAGTACAGAACCTCACATTCTGAAGATTCAGATATAACTGAGAAAAGCACAAGAATAAGCAAAGTATGACAACAAGTGTGCCATTTAGGCATTAACTGTAAGCCACCTAGAATTGCCTCAGCAAGATAGGTAGTATAGAAGTCAGAGAAACAAACAAAGAAGCAAGCAAGCAAACAAATAAATAAATACCACACTAGCAGCTTTCAAACAAAACAGGATCTGGATTCTTCTCTGCTAGCTCTATATCAGGGGTGTCAAACTCATTGAGGGCCACATCAGGATTGTGTTTGACCTCGGAGGACTGGGTATGTGTATGGCTGGGGGTGAGCGTGAGCTCCGTTTTCACTGACAGAGGGCTACAGGAGGCCGTTGCGGCTGAAAACGGGACATCGGGGGGGGGGGCACAGCCCTCCGAAGCTCTGTTTTCTCTGGCAAAGAAACTGTGGGGTGGTCCTTTGGTTTTTCCAGGCTGGCCCCACAGGCCGTATCTAAGCACCGCTTGCGGGCCTTGAGTTTGACATCCCTGCTCTATATGGACTTTCATATACTAAAGCGAGGTGTAAAATAATGAAATGCTCTGCTTGTTTCTAGCACTCTGACAGAATTTATTTTGGATGTAACTTTTGCGAGTAAAAGTGTATAAGGATTCCCAGTGCTCCTTTCTTTTCTACTATTCGCTTTCATAGACAGGATGATTGTTTTAGGGATTCCCAATGAATCCATATATACAGCAGAATAAAACTAAGATCATGTTGAACTGAAAAGTACTTAATACTACTCGTAATTTAGCCAAAATGGGTACAGCCGGGACATCATTCTTAGATGCTTCTATTTTACAATCTCCTTCTGATCTGTGCTTTTTTTTAAAAAAAGAAGAAGTGAATTTTGTGCACTTAGCAATTACTATGCAGTAACGCAGTCTCCCATTCCCAATCCAAATGTGACTTCAGGCCCTCTCCTGTAATACTTCCTACTATTTCCTACTTCAGATCTTTCCAGCAATGGAGCCTGGAGAATTAAACAAAAGGAAATTTATCTACAGGCCGCTGTTACAGTTTGAAGGATAGCAACTGGGCTGAGTTTATTTTTCTTAGCCAATAATTTTTAGGAGTTTTGTTATTTATTTAAAGTCACTGGGAAAAGCCATTAAAAAAAAAACTTTTAAGGCATCTTAAATTTAATAGGGTCTGCGCTTTCCTGAACTGTAGTCTATTTTATCTGATGCACAGATTCAATGGATGTACTTGAGAACTAAGCCAACAGGTAAAACTCTACATTTATATCTACGTTTGAGCTTCTTAAATGCATCAAATACGAGTCAGCTCTAGCATCAAAAGAACTTCCTTACACACTTCCTAGGGAAGGTAATTTGAACAGATCTTATCCTTGCATGAACTGGTCTTTTGGAATCTGCTGTGATATATTTTTCATATGTGGAAAATGAGTCATTTAGTACCACAGATTTATATAGACACCGGACATTAACGGTTTTAATGTTATTTATATTCCCCTACTCCCACTACAGCCCCAAGTTGGGATATGTAGATCTTACTGTCCCTGCAGGTTTCTTTTAGATTCACCCATGGAAAACATATCTCATATGAACTCTTTTTAACATCAATAAAGGAATTTTGAAAATCTATATGGTTAACAGTGGAATTTTTATTTTAAAAGGAATTCAAACAGTCTGTAAGGAAGGAGGGGCAGACTGGCCCTTAGAGTTATCCACTCTGAAAAGTGTGCACCTTATAAGTCTTCGCAAGTGGGGAAGGGTTAAATAAAATCTGAGAATAATATCCCAATATCTTTTGTTGTTTTTCTTTCAAGACTAGAGGCAATTCTTCTTTTCCAGAAATATTTCTACATATATAGCAAATGTTTCTATTAAGGCTCATCATTCAGTTTATGATTGGACTTTCTGGGGTGGTTGACATAAATAGTGACTAAGTATCCTTGTATAAAAAAACTAAATATTCAGAGCAAACATAACTTGAGAAAGAGGAGTGGTTTAGAAAGTGGAAAAATCAATCAATCAATCAATCAATCAATCAATCAAGGGTATGGAAACATTTATAATTTGTACAATTCTTTTGCAGAAGAGATATTTTGAGAAGAGCATTTGAGATTCTGTGATACCAAACATTATTTTCTTTCTAGTGTGGGGTAGATACAATTCTCTCTATAGAGGACCACAATGATGGGAAATACTTTTGTTTTATTTTTAAATAAAATAAAATTTTTATTTTTTGAAGAATCTAAATCCAACAGTGAACTCTTAGCCAAATGTGTAGAGTGTTTTGGGGGTTCAAAAATTACTGGGTGCTTTGCATTGGCTCCATCTTCAACTATTTTGTGAGTTTGGGAAACTGGAAATATTTCACCAATAGCTAACCTTAGGGTTATTAATGTTTTTGCTTTTTTCCATTTAGTTTTTGCTCGAATTCTGAAGGCTCCTGAATTCTATAATGTCAGCTTTGGCTCTGTGGTAACTCTGCAATGTGCAGCAACAGGCATTCCAACTCCTACAATAACATGGCTTGAAAATGGAAAAGCTGTAAGTATCACTGCAGTTCCTAAATTCTGATGATTAATTCTTTAACCAGATTCAGTCAAGCTTTGAAACCAGGGTGAAACTGGCAGAGAAAATTTGGAGGCTCTTGCAAAATAGAGATGCAATATGGAAATGCAATTCATTATTCTTTCTTTTTTTAAAAAAACAACAACAAATTTTATTAATTTTTAGAAAACAATACACAAACATACAAAACATAAAATATAAGAACATAAAACATCTTGTATAAAAACAGCATAGTTCCAGATTATCACGTTTCCATACAAACACAATTTGATATACATATTTATCTTATATATTCAACTTCATATCTTTTCCCAACTCCTCTCTATTTCTCCCTTTCCTTCTATATTCAATTATATTTCTTTTATCTTGATTTCTATATCTTTTTATTCATTATGTACTTCCATCTGTCTTGTTTACAATTCCATTGTTCTCTTCCAACCTTCTTCTAAAATTTTCAAACATAGACAAACAAAACACAAAACATAAATACATAAAAACTTCTTTTTGGAAAGCGGCTTAGCCCCGGGTTACATCTTTTTATACAGACATAAATCAAATTCATGCTCACCTTATATATTATTTCATATCTTATTTAACATTCTATATTTTCTATATATTTTCTCGCCTCTATTCACTCTCTTAATTCTATTTTATTTATTTCATCTCAATTTAAATCACTATACTTGCATCTTTTGTCCGTTTTTCAATTATCTATTTATCTTTTCTTTCTAATACAATATTTCTCCTGTAATACCGATTGAAGTATAACGCCTTTTTATCTTTCCCCTATATTTAGCACTTAAAATAATACATACTTTCCATATTGATTCTGCCTAGTACATTCTAAATACTACATTTTGGAATAATGAAAAAAAAAAGAGAAATTATGCTTATAATATAATAAAAACAATATTCAATAAACTCTATTATTAAATCTTAAACATTTTATACATTCCCTTTCATATTTTGTTAACTCATATAATATTCCAATTTTCTAGCTCTATTTCAAATACTAATATCTACAATACAATCTTATGTACTTTTGCAGAATCTTTTCTTAAAATTATACTTTACCCTTTATCTATAAAAAAAACCTGTTTTTTAACATCTTGTTCTAAACCTTTGTGACTTCTGTTCCCCTTTTCCCTTCCTTTCTTGTCAATTCTAACCTTTTTACCCCTCCATCTCTCCATCTCTGCTCTCTTAGTCTCCCCTCTCTGTTGTATTCCTCTTTTCTGTTGCTTTCTGACATTGTATCGATTTTTCACCTTATTTTCCCCTATCTTGGTTGCTTTTTTAAGTTCTGAATTCTCCATTTTCTTTCCCCACTTTCTCTTTTCTTCCTCAACTAAGATTATTTGTCCATTAAAGATGGCTTCTTCTTCTTCATCCCTATTTTCTTGTTGTTGTAAATCCTGATAGGTAGAAATCGCCATTTCTAAAAAGTGAAAAATAGACCCAGAAGAGCCCTTGCCTTCTTGTTCCTCCTCTTTTAACTTTTGAAATTCTTCCTCTTTTAACTTTTGAAATTCTTCAACAGATAATGCCATTGTAAAAAATTTTTTTTTTAAAACAACCCAAATGTTTTTAGTCTTTCAAGGAATAATTTCTAAAAGTCCCAAAGTCATAAAGCAATCCAAATCAGGACAAACTGTTTCATTTAGCACTTTCTTCTTTTATATTTTCTCTTCTTGGGGTAGAATTAAATTACACAGTTCCAAAATAATTTCTTAGAAGTCTTATTGCCATTTATTTCTAGTCTTATAAGCTCCAAGCCATCTCCTCCAATAAAATCTTAATATAAGTTCTTTACTTCTCTCTTCCCACTTATAGCAAAAAAAAATTAGTTTTTAATTCCAATGTTCAAAGATCTTTAATATCCCCTTGGCTTTCAAGTTTAATTACCTTCTGTGCCAAAGCAGGTTTTTCGGATTTCCATTTGCTATTTCCGTAGGGAAGGAGAGTGAGAGAAAATAACTTTCCCTTTCTGCTTTCTTCCGCTGCTTTTGCAATCTTCTTGGGAAACAGTATATCGTATAAAAGATTAAGTTGCCAGGGTATTTAGAAGTTCCTTATTGTCCCGGTTCAGCCAAAAAAACTTTCACTTTCTCCAACTTCCTCCTGCACAATCTTGTCCGGCTGCAGGCTTCTTTGTGGCGGCCATTGCTGACCGCCGCTCCACTGCCTTTGGAAAAGGGACTTGTGCCGGCTGAGGAGGGGGTTTGCGATACCCCCAAGCCCCTGCCCGGATCTCCCCTGTCTTCGGTCGCCTCTACGGGGCAACCATAGCTTCCAAATCCGGCTGGATCGGGGGCACTCCAGCAGCGAGCGCAGCAGGAACTGCGCACGATCACGGATTCCTGCTGCCGCTGAAGCAAAGCAAACCGCAAGTCCCCAATTCATGATTCTTTCTGATGTGGCTGCATTGTATGTCTTTTTAGTTTGGAATCTGATTTGGGTAACAAATTTCTCATATGCAAACACCTCCACTATCTAGTCATGGCTCCCTGTTTTGCTTTATTCAGTACATTTCCTGCATTTTCATATACAGTATTTTGCACAACTACGTGTTAGAAAATGTGTTTAAGATAACTACAATAGTGGTCTTTGACAATAGACGTTAACATCAGTTATTCAAGTTGCATAGCTCATAGAGAAAGCCTGAGAAAATTTTGGTTGTCGTTGGCTAAATTCAGTGCTGGGTAGCATATTGGATGGTATATTGTTTACATGGGAGAAGGCAGAGATTCTGATATTTTGGTATTTCCAGATAAGAATGTTTGATATTCTAAAACAGGGGTGTCAAAGCACAGGGACCGGATGCAGCCCCTGGCATGCTTAGATCTGGCCTGTGGGGTCGCCCTGGAAACAATGAAGAACTGGCTCACAGTGCCTCTGCCAGCGAAAACGGAGCTCAGGAGGGCCGCATGAGACTCTCCCGAGCTCCGTTTTCACTGGCAGAGCCCTCAGGCCACCACTAGCACCCCCAACACGAGTGACATTGAGCTGGCCACTCCCACCCTGGCCACGTACACCCTGCCCCCCCTGAGGTCAAGCACAACCCTGATGCGGCCCTCAATGAAATTGAGTTTGACCCCTTCAATTGTAAAGTGTGATTGATATTCTAAATGTCTTCTGCAATCTCCAGAATTCTAGAAATTGTATCGCAACTTACATTGGTTTAGAAAACACTGCTATCATAGATGCTTGGTACAAGCCACAATAATATCACGAGTGCCATTTCATCGCACAGATGATATGCATTATTTTGAGTCAGTTTCATGACATAAATTACACAATGTGCATGGCAATGCCATGATGCATGCCACTTTCCTCTGCCCATGGTTGCTTGTGATCGCTGTGGACTTTCGGCCAATGAATACTTTCCTGATGTTGTTGGGCTCTGATTTGGCCCTTACTATGACTTGATTTATTTTGGTAGGTCCTGCAGTGCAATTACATATGAAGTAATGAGTTTGTTGTCCTCTAGAACAGGGGTCCCCAACCGCCGGTCCGCGGACCGGTACCGGGCCGCGGAACAAGCCTTACCGGGCTGCTGGTTGCTGGGCGCCGCCATTTTTTTTGACGAAAGATCACTTCCGGTGACGTCACCGGAAGTGATTTTTCGTCAAAAAAAGATGGCGGCGCCCAGCTGACGCCGGAACCGGGTCGCGGCGCCCAGCTGACGCCGGAACCGGGCTGCGGCGTCGAAAAGGTTGGGGATCCCTGCTCTAGAAGTATACTATGTGACTGAAGTTTCAGTGCTCCAATTTCTAATCTTTGTAGCATCCTTTTAGGCTTTGCCTGTGGAAAGAAGGTTGCTTATTTTGTAAGGTGTGCAGTTCTTTGATCCCAGCATGATTCTTGCTGTTATCCATGTGCCTATCAGACTCCATATACCAGCAGCCCCCAACCTTTTAGACTGGTTTTTCCAGAAACAGGGGATGGTGGTTTCATGTGCTGCCTGGATCCCATTTGTGCGCGGATGGGGCTTCACTTACTTGTGTAGCCTGGTTCCTGGCAGTCTGCGGCCCGGTGCTGGTCCATGGCCTGGGGGTTAGGGACCCCTGCCATATACTACATATTTTTATTTATTTTGGCACTGCAAAATTGGGAAACTACAGGATTGTAAAGAGATCAAGCATGTGTGTGTGTGTGTGTGTGTGTGTGTGTGTGTGTGTGTGAACAAAACCCAAGTACTGCATATTTTTCTATCAATATGTATGTTACAAATAGTTAATTTTAGACTACATGGGCTATTAATTATTTTGAAGAATAATTAAACTAAGTAAAAGAATGAAATTTGCCAAAAAAAATTATGACGAAGGGAAAATTGGCACACAAAGGGAATCTTTCGATGCCTATTTTGTTCGCCACCCAATTTTTGAATTGTGACCCGATTCAAAAATCGGGGGGATTTTTTGTTCACCACCCGATTTGGTCATGAAGAGGAGTGTTCGCGACCTGAGGTTCTACTGTATGTAAATATATACTATTTTTACTTCAGGTCCTCATACATGAGTACCATTTAATATATAAGTGAAAAGGCACCACCTCTGTACAATTGGGCAGAAACTTGGGAAAACTCTGATGTTTGTGAACAGAAACACAATCTCATCTACATATTCAAAACACCAACCAAAGTTGTGGGGGAAAGGATTCCCACTTAGAATTCAGTATCCACGGACTCCAGTTTTTGCATGGCTTCTATTTTTGAAATGTTCTATGACCTCCTAGTTCAGTTTATTTTTATTACTGGTAGTAAATTAAAAACATTAATCTCTGCCCACAGGAACATGTATGAATTTCACATAATGGATGAACCAGGTCAGTCAGTTGTCCTACTGCAACTAAATAACTTGGTTCACTCTTCCTGTGAAATTATGGTTTACCTGAAGTTGGATTATTGTATAAACCACAATACTGGGATGGTATTGTGGAAGCCACAAGCAACCAAATTACAATTTAGCATGATCAGGAACTCTGAGTGAGTGGGGTTTTTGCCCCTAACACTGTCAAACACCTTGAATTACTTATAGAATTATTATTAGATAAATCAAATAATTGTTAAATAAATCTTTTTAATGGATTTCTACTAGTTCTTTGACTGAGTCATGGAATTTCTGCAAGCAAGAAAATGCAGGCTGACAATCTCCAATTTCAAATAGAAAAACTGCCATCTTAGAAAAGTTAAAAATACAGTTATTAACAATGAGTTAAACTTTCCTTGCATTCTTTAATAGTTTCCATAAAGCGAATGGCAAGCTGCAATAATTAACTCCCTTTCAAGCTGTTTTAAAATCAGCTGGGCCAAGGATTACTTGATGGGAGATTGTTCATAAACTGAAACTGTTTGCAATCTTCCCTAAATTATTTTCCAACTCTCTGTGAGTTCTATCAGTGAACGTGGCAAGGAGAGTTTTCTACGTTGTGTGGTCCAGACAGAGAATGAACTATTCTGACTCACCCTTCAGATTCTCATATTTCTTCTAATAAAAAGCCTTTACCCAGAGAAGAGGAAGATACCCATATGAACTTCCTTCAAATTTTAGAAGCAGCTTTTTGTTACAGCATACAAAAAAAAAAAAAAAGGAAATCTAAAGAGGAGAAAATAGAAAGAATTGCAATAAACATATTGAGCAATGAAGCTTGATGAAGTGACATGTGTTTTTAATTGATAAAGTTTGAACATTCATGTAGAATCTGAAAAAACTCTACGTAATTTTTAAAGTAAACATTTAAGTATTGGGAAAAAAAATCCAGGCTAAGACTCAGAACCTGAAGCATAAGCCAATAGACTTAGTGTGAACCAAACTTGTGTGACAAATATATGTTTATTGTGTTGTGCCAATTCAGAAAATGGAGTTAATTGAGTAACTCGTGTTTAAACTAATTGTAGCCAAGCTAGTTTATTTATTTTGGTTTATTTAGCTTACAGTACTTGCAACAGCTGCATCAATTTTACAGGGCTATGTATATGAGCAAACCAATACAAAATGCATATATCTACATCTAAAAACAAATAGGTTCTGATAATAATAATAACAAAAGTCCTCAATAACGATAAATAGATGCACTCCCACACATGCTCTGGAATCTAAAAGCCTACTGAAATAAAATCCTCCTTCCTCCCTTGTCTCCCTAGTATAAAAATACACATTTGTCCAGCTGTAACTGTATGAATGGTCTCTTTGCTGAGAAATCTACTAATTCCATGTGGGGAAGCAGTTTCACTTGGGAATATGATTTAATCTGATGCGTTAGCTCAGACATTACAGCACCTGGATGAACTGAAGGAAAACTGAGTTCATGCCTTGAAGAAATTACTTTTACACTCCAGTAGGAATGGTTTTGGCACTCTAAATCCAAAAATGATTTCTGCAGGAAGATATTCAATGATTAAATATTTTACTCAGAACGAAGTGAAATGTTTCAGCAGAAATGGAAAAAACCAATTAAATTGTCTTGGGATTTAACTGACATAATTGGTATTTTTTAATCGCAAACCTTTGAATTGTCTTCTTTTAAATTTTAGCATGATTAATGCAGGAATTACAACATTCTAATATGTAATTAAAAGTGTGTGTGTATCCAGAAATTAATGCTACTCAGAGTAAATCATTGAATGGAAGTGCTAAATTATTGGCCCTTTTACATCTTTATTCTTATTCAGTCAAGTATTGGGAGAATGGTATTTTTTTAGGGAAAATATTTCTATATTAGTTTATTTGTTACACATTCAATACCAGCAAACATTTTAAATCATTATGTTTCATCTTAAAAGCAACATTATCTTTTGGCCCCGTTGAATGTAGAAAAAAATACAAATTTCAGAAAAATTAAATCTTTAAGGGTTAGGGATGAAGCTAAGCAACATGTTATTCTCTTTTAGTTCCATTATGTGGGATAAAAATAAAAAACAGACAAATTTTATGATTCTTGATTAATTCCATTTCCTAAACTTTCACATTAAGGTTCAATAACTACTTATTTATTATTAGTATTTCATAATTGTCTCCAGGCTCCAAAATTTAACCCCTCCAGATTTCTTCTGAGATGATGTTCTCATTTGAAATCCTATTAGATTTTGGCCATTACATGCCAGATCACCAAACTCGCATGAAATTTGGAAAATTTGTGAGTTGTGATGGTTTGTAGGTTCATGTGTGGGTGCTTTCAAGTCAATCTTAAATCCTGGAACTATATGGAAAATCCCATGGAGTTTTCTTGACAATGGTTTTTCATTCCTTTCTTCCAAGAGCAGAGAGACCATGACTGGCTGAGGGCCACCCAGGTACCTTCCATGCTAAAGGCCAGATTAGGACTTTACCCATTAGATCAAATTCTGGTGGTTGCTTGTTCTCTTTTCAATAGTGGTAGTAATTGTTTTGGACTGAGATTGATATACTAAAAAACAATGTACGACTATTCTTTTTTTCCCCCTAATGATTTTGAAAAAAGTGCAAGAGCACTGGAATTATTGAAAGTTACCAAGATAACAGTAACAGAATTGGAAGGGACCTTGAAGATCATCTAGTCCAGGGGTGTCAAACTCAATTTCATTGAGGGCCACATCAGGGTTGTGTTTGACCTCAGAGGCCAGGCTGGGTGTGGCCAGGGCATGGCCAGCATGATGTCACTCATGTTGGGGGGTGCCAGTGGTGGCCCAAGTGCTCTGCTAGCGGAAATGAGCTCCCAAGCTCCATTTTCAGCTGTGACGGCCTCCTGCAACTTTCTGCCAGTGAAAGCAGAGCTCAGGGGGCCACACGTGGTCCTTGCAAGCTCCATTTTTGGCTGGTATGATGTCCTGCAACCCTCTGCCTATGGAAACGGAGCTTGCGAGGGCCGCACACAGCCCTCCTGAGCTCCATTTTCACTGGCAGAGGCATCGCGGGCTAGTCCTTTGTTGTGTGGCCCTGCACACCGTGGGCTGGATCCAGACCCCGGGCCTTAAGTTTGACATCCCTGATCTAGTCCAACCCCCTGCTCTCACAGGAGGCTTATACTATGTGGTCATAAGTCAAGGATTACCAGAATGATTTGGTCCACAAGATGAACTGCTTAACTTTCTATCTCCAGGACTATGCGGGAGATGACATTCTCTATTTCTCTTTTTTACTTTAGGTGTCAGCTGGATCCATTGTAGAAACAGTAGAAGACAGAATGATTGATTCACGGCTGCAGGTTTATGTCACTCGCCCGGGTTTATTCACCTGTATAGCCACTAACAAGCACAGTGAGACTTACGGCACTGCCAAAGCTGCAGCGACTATTAATGTTTCAGGTATGTGTCAGGAAAAAAAGAGCTTCTCTTGAAGGATTAGATGATATTTAACTCTAGTCTAGGATTTTAATTGCATTCAGGAACCTCACAGAATGCAAAAGGCACCCAATGTGAGAGGCTTTAACTTCCTTGTAATTTCCTCCAGGATAAACACAATTTTAAGAATTTATTTTGTTCCTGGCTGTTTCCCCTTACAATATATTTCAGATATTGGCAGAGCTTTAGCTACCCACATGTTTGCTGGCATCTTTATTACACTGTCTTAAAGACCACTTTGTAAATTCATCCAGAGGAAGGAAGCAAGGAAGGAAGGCTGATGAAGTGTTATATTAATATCCCCTAATGGCCAGGCGAAAATAGTTCAGTGAGCTTTCATCATCTGTAGTATAATATTTATGTTGGTAGTATGTTGCTCTCCAAGGAAAACAGAACTCTAAAATGTTCTTTATTCACCAGGACCCATGTACATAACTCTTTGAGGATGGAAAATCATGATGAACTTAGTCTGATTTCTTTTTAATGTGACGCTCTCATAAAAGATGATGGAATGGTGATTTGCAGCCTTACCACACTGGGGACACTTTAATGAAATCCATTCCTCCATGCAAATCTTAACCATGTGGTGTGGTAGCTTTTCATGTATGCCATACTTCAAAAAGTCTTTAAATATTTCCTCCCTATTATCATATTTTGCTCTCTTCTAGCTTTAACCTCTAGGATAATTAATTTTCTGCATTTCTGCTCCAGTGGAGCCTCATTTCTTTTTTGTGGCTATTTTATCAAATTATCCTTTGGGGCTATGTTTGCAGTGTATGTTTTCTGACAGCTACTAACTAAAAGGAAAATGTGATCAAGCACTTTCAAACTTATTTGAATCCATAAATATATTAATAGATTTTTTTTTAATACAATGCAAATTGTGCTGACAATTTCCTTGTCTTTTCCCCAACTCAACTGTTTGTTTCAATGAATCTCCTGCCTGTTCCTGTAGAATGGAGGTAAGAAAAAAATCTTGGCATAATCATTACTGATATTGTGTGAGAAATGTGTGAAACCACTTGGAAAACTTTTTTTTTTTTTTTTGCTCAAGATGAAAATGGGTGCTTGCCGAGAGCATTTGTGCTCTTTTATTTTCAATTAAGTCTATTTAAAATACAGATCGTAATATTTTCTTGGTTCACCTCTTTCTATCTTTGCAAAAAATGGCTTGTGATGGAGGGTTTTGGTGTGTGAATTTAATCAAGAAACAAACCTATGAGGTAAAGAAATATTGAGAAAGCTACGGGATAAGTACATATCTTATAGCAGCAGTCCCAAATGTTTGCAGCTTGGCAGCCCAGGGGAGAGGGGGGAGAGGGGGGAGAGGGGAACCAGCCACGTGAGTAGCAGGCCAGGGCATGCGCATGTGCACAACTCAACCTGTGAGAGCAGCATGCGCACGCAGCTTGACTTGTGCAAGTTGAGCTGCACACATGTGTGCATACAAGCCAGCCCACTGCTCGTGCAGCCTGGTTGCAAATAGGCCACAGTCCATGGGTATATATCAACTTGTCAAGTAACCTTAAACATCACAATTTAACATTATCATACAAGTTAATTCCTGTTTTACCTTAATTGTTATTGCAATTAATTACTTTGTATGTATGCTTCAGAAATACAAATAAGTGATATTGGTTAAAAATTCAAGGGTCTGCTTATCAGTGGATGGAGTGTCTGTGAATATATGTGTGGGATATCCAGTAAAAAAACTGAGGAAAAATGTACTGTATTTAATTGAGGATAAACCCATCTGCAGATAAGCCAGACCCAATTTTTAAGACATATTTAAGCAGCTGAAATTCTTGGCTTATCTGCAAGTATATACTGTATGATTAATTTAGCCATAACAGATATTGAGACTAAGGAAGATAGTTTCAGTAAGGCTATGAAAAAATAATTATTAAAAATAAAATTTATCATTTGTTTTTGGCTCCTAATAAATCAGAATATCATTCAGGGGCTCCCTTTCTTTTGGGGCTAGTGCACTCTCATAATGGCTGCCATTTGGGAATCGCTTTTCCTATTTATTAACTGTATAGTATAGGTGTTAGGAATATAAGTCACCTAACAGGTATTTGGGTTAGAAATACATAAACCAGGATAAACATTTTAAAACTGTATCTTTAAGAAAATGCAAAAGTGTAATTGGGTGTGGTTTCTCAAACAGCCATAAGATGGAGCCAGAAACCTGGGTTGTTTAGTCTTAGTCTCAGAAGAGAGTGTATCTCTGTTTCCTTCTGTTGGAAAGTATTGCAGTTCCTCCATTTTTCCTAATTGACCGATATTTTCTGGATTTAATGTAAGTCTGCTACTGAACTGTTTTTGATACTGGACTTTGTTACTGGATTATCCCTGGATTGAAAACTGACTGATATAACCTGTGAATGACTTTGGATTGCCTATTTTGAACTTTGCTTAAACCTTTCTGGAAGTAAAAACCTACATTTACTGTACAGTGTATCTGTGTGCCATGTGTGTATTATTCAAACACTACTCTCAAATACGTCTCCCTGTATGCGCTCATTCTCCTAACGGGGAATTACCTTAACAATAGGGGCCAGAAACCTGTGGCTCTGGAGCCACATGTGGCTTTTTCATTCCTCTGCTATGGTTCTCTGTTGCCGGTTGGCTCCACAATTGATAGGGCTTTTAGTTTGGACAAGTAGAGGAAAAAGGATGCTGCACTAGGAGGAAACTCTATGGTAGGGCAACCGAACTTCCGGTTGGCTCCAGAATTGAAAGGGAGGCTTCCGGTTTGGACCTTTGTGGCTCTTGGAGTGATTAAAGTTACTGACCCCGGTATAGTATATTGAGTGAGATCAGTTACAAAAGACAACTGGTGGGATGTTTCTTCAGTACAGGTGGTCTTCGACTTACAACCATTCATTTAATGACCATTCAAAGTTACAACGGCACTGAAAAAAAAGTGATTTATGACTGTTTTTGGACACTTGGCAACTGATCTGTATTTATGGTGGGTTGCAGTGTCCCAGGGGTCATGTGATCACCTTTTGCGATCTTCTGACAAGCAAAATCAATGGCAAAGCCAGATTCACTTAACAATTGTGTTACTGACTTAACAACTGCAGTGATTCACTTAACTACTGTGGCCAGAAAGGTTGTAAAATGAGCTAAAACTCACTTAACAACTGTCTGGCTTAGCCACAGAAATTTTGGGCTCTATTGTGGTGGTAGGTTGAGGAAAACCTGCATCCTCTTTTGGTCCTCAGAATGTTTACTGTATTGTGGGCAATAAAGTTGATGCTGGAAATTAGTATTTGCTTGGCTGTTTGTCAGTTTCCTGCATACTTAAAAAAAATCAATACATTTTATACCTTTTAAAAATATTTTTTTTAAATTGATTTGAGTGGGGCAGAAAGCCAAGTTGGTGACTTGGAGCCCCAGACATTTTGGAGCATTTGCAATTTAATCAAAGTTAAAACCAGAGTCTGAATAGGCATAATAATAAAGGCAACTTTACTGAAGAAAAGGCTGATCCTGAGAGAGACAAGATACAAATATAAAACATACACAAAATAAATATGTTGTAATATCTTCGACTTTTCTATTATGCCATACAAAGATTTAATTGTGAGCAATATTCCAACAGAAGCAAGGACTAGAAAAGGAAGTTTGAGTCTTTCAGAAGTGAACACAGTGCAAAGTTGTTAGGAATGGAAAGCAGTAATTTCGGAAAACCCATCCATCTTCCTGAAAATTATATTAAACCTTGGGAAACCTGAGTTGCATGCTTCTGGTTGGAAGACTGAATAATGAAGTTATTCTGTCTTTTCAATAGACCTTTTTTTCTGCTAAGCAAGAGAGAGAGAGAAAGAAGGAGAGAAAGAGGAGAAAGAAGAGACTGGAAAACACTTCAGGGTTGTAAATTGAAAACATCAGTATCTTATCCTATTAAGATTTGGTGAATAAAGAATACAAATTGCTCTCCAAATTGCCCCAGAAACAAAGCCTCTTGAATGGAGACTTTGTGTTCACTTTGTGTATATATCTTGTGGAGAGATACATTTCCTAGACCTTATTAAATTCTAATTTTATAATGACAACAGTAAAAATTATGGAGTACTCCAAGTCAAAGCCATTAGAATGAATCAAATGCATAATTTTTAGAAACCATGTAATTTGATGAATTAAAGTTGATTACATCTATTTCACATCTATTTGGGGGTAGGGGTGGAATCTGTTTCCCAGCGTATTCAGCAATTGAATAGAATAAATACCAATATATTATGTATTCTTCTGGTAAGATATTTCTTTCATCTCCCAGAAACCCCAAGCCATGTTTCTAAAAGTATCTAAGGAAATTACAAAGTTTAGTGAAATATAATTCCAATTAAAAAAAACCAATCTTGTAGTTTTGGAATGTAGCTTCAATAAGGAAGCTGTTTAATCATCTGTATTTTCCGATCGTTTAACTTTTCTCTTTAAAAGACCAAAAGTGGGTTTTATAAGTGGGCACAAGAAAGTAATCATGGCCCTATAGGCTAAAATGAGTTTTCCAAAAAGTTTTGAAACAGCTGATTATTGTCATTCTTCATTTATTTTACACTCAATTATCCAGATTAGTTTAATTATAGATATTGTTTTATTTGATTGAGCTAGTCCTCTTGTAACTCTCCTTCGTTAATTATTAGCTGTTTTAGTGGCTTTATATTTGCCATAGTATTTTAACTGTAACAGATGTTTTTATTGATTGCTTTGTAAATGATCAGCCTCTATTCAGTGTTATCAAAATAGGACAAACAAACTATGGCTGAATTATACTGGCAATGGGCCAAGCAGAAAGTGCACATCTGGCTAGAAACTGGATAATTTTAGTGAAACTTACTGATATGCATAACCTCCTGCCCTGGTGGTCCTCATTCACAAGTTGATAAACACTGGAAACAGAGTATCAGAAATGCCAGATGCTTGCCAGGTTTATAGGCCAATGTTAAATAATAGCTGGAACTGAAGAAAACAGAGAATAAATACAAACAAAAAGCAAAAAACTGAGATCCAGTTGCTAGGCTTTTTCTTCCTGGCATAAACAGAGCATGCCAAAAGTTTGCAGTCTTGACAGCGTTTTCCAGGATCCATTCTGTGAATAACAAAAATATTCCATAAAGGCTAATAGGTCATGGCAAGATAGCAGCCAAATCTATCAACCAAATTCCCACAGTTGGAAATGCAGGTGGGAAGGCATTTGAGGAATGTTCATATGACCTCTGATTGACACATAGTGTGCTTGTCAAGGCCATCCTTTTAATTTATTTTTACTGCTGCCAGAAGGATTGGAAGCAGTTTTTTGAAGAAGACATCCATCAGCTTTTTTTCCGCCAGTCTAGATTCCTTTTGCAGGAAACCCAGATTTGCCTTCTTGTATGTAGAATTCACATTATTTCTAGAACTTAAAGAGCATCAACTACATCCAAAGAATTGGCTACTTTCTGACAACAGCATTTTAAGCCTCTTAGCTTTATTAAGGCTGTAGAACAGGGTGTCAAATTAGATTTCATTGAGGGCTGCATCAGAGTTGTGTTTGACCTTGGGGGGGCTGGGATGGGCATGGCCAGTTTGACATCACTCATGTCAGGGGGCACCTGTGTTAGCCTGAGTGCTCTGCCAGCGAAAATGGACTCCCGAGCTCTGTTTTTGGCTGGGATGTCCTCCTGCAACCCTCTGCAGAGGCGCTGCGGGCCGGACCTTCACAGTTTCCAGGGTGGCCCCACGGGCCAGATCTAAGCACCCCGTGGGCTGAATCTGGCCCGTGGGCCTTGAGTTTGACATTCCTGCTATAGAAACATGGAGCCAAATTAGGATACACAATCTGGAAAAGGAAGCAGTAAATAAAGAAACAATCAGCATGCCAAAAACATTGCCGATCTGCTTGGACCTAATAATGAACAAAAATGTGCCTGTTAGATGGGTGAATGGTTTGACTCAGTTCAAAGTGACTAACTTTACAGATAAGCAAAAAAAATTGAGGGGGGGGAGGGTAGGATAGTTAACATTCAATTTCTTTTGTGTAATGATATGTTATAGAGCTTCATCTGGCTAGGTGACAAAGGCACCCTTAGATGGAAGCTAAAATCAAGACTGAAGTATTAGCTGGCTAGATAAATAGATGTGCAAAATTCAAGGACATAAACCTGCTGTCAGCAAAGGAAGCACTAGACTAATGAAGCTTGAGCTTATTTGATAATCTTAAGGAGCCATTCAGAGGAAAATAGTAAGAAACTGGGTGCAGACAATGAACAGGCTGCTTATATTATGCCCAGAGGAAGAATGTTTGGCTGGCAATTCTGAATTCTGAACCGGAGCTTTTTGCTATTAAGGGTTGAAGATGTCCTCCCACAGGTGGTTGCAAGTCCTGCTAGTTATCTTCTTTCAGAAGCCTGTCTTTGACACAACAAAGCGGAGCTTATAAAACTACAGGCAGAACCTCTGTGTATCATTCATAAAATCAGAGTGGAAAAGATTTGAGCCCAGGAAGAAATAGGACTGCTGGCTTGCTCTACTATATCCACAGGGTTGTTGCACAGCGATCAAGTTACAGTCATCATTAATCACTTCCTTTCCTTCAAACTTGAGCTGAGGAGAAAGCCGTCCCATCTGGGTGATAGCCCCCCCCCCCAAAAAAAAAAAAAGGAATAGCATTAAAGATGAAAGTTAAGTTGCAACGCTGAGAAAGAATTCTCAAATGGAGAAAGCTAACCGTCATTCTTGCAGCTGGAATTCATCTGTAAATATGAAGTGTTTGGAAAGGCTAGCCATCTTGTCAAAAAGCAGGCAACTCATTTTCCTCCAGGCAGGCAGATTGGTGATGCGAAGGGTTCTGCAAAGGTACAGATAGCTGGCATTTCCAAATGTTTAGAAGGGATATAAATTGAACTCTGTGACCTTTAAGTAGAGCTTCATAAAATAGCTCTGGATGAGCAAGAGTTCTGCATGGGTTTCATATGAAGGGAGAGCTGAGTGGCTGGAGGAAGAATAGCTTTTGTTTTTTAATTTTTTATTGGTTTTTAAAGACAAACAAAAACAAACAAAACATAAAAAACATCCAACTTTCTTCCATAAGTGTACAAACAGTGTGTTGGTTGGTTTACAAATTTTTTGTGCATCCATTTCATAGTCTCAATTACAGTTACATTGCATAATAACTCATATTATCAATCAAAAATTGAATACCCTAGTATCATTATTAATCAATCATTTGACTGTAATTTTGTTCATTCATACTTTGCGAGATAACTATAAATTACTTAGTTTATTTTATAACAATTCATATAATCCTCCCAAATCTATCCTAAAAACATTTTATAGATATAATAATAAAAAAGAATGGCTTTTGTTTTATTGCATACTGTCAGAGTCAACTTGCATGAGATGGACAGTCATATAATCTTTCATAAATCTATAAATAAACCACTGCCATGAAAGGGTTACCATTAGGAGGGATGTGCAAATGATGATTTTTTGTGCAGGCCTGTGAAGCAACTCTGTGAAACACGTTCCCAACATTGTAAATGCCTTAAGGACCTGGCTTTTCTCCCAAACGTTGAGAGAGATAAAGTGATATGTTTGTGTGGATTGGTGCCAGGTTTTGGGTTTTATTGTTTTTTTAAATGTTTCATCTTTTAATTGAGTGTGTTTTACAGTTTAAAAAAAAATGATTTTATTGGAAGCCGCCCAGAGTTGTCTGAAAGATGGGTGGCTATATAGATGCTTTAAAACATAAAATAAAAATGAAATATTGGCAGAGATGCCTTGGTTTGCCATCTGTATCTAACATCACATGGGTAATCATGATTTGCCAAGTCAAATGGATTCCTTGGAACAGTATTTTTCTTCAGAAATTAGTCTCTATGGACAGTCTCCCATAGAGGCTAATTTCTGAATTTGAACTCTTCAGAGTTTCACTCTGAACTGAGTGAATTTGCCATGGTAATCCTTGAGCAAGAGACACGGGGGTATTAAAAAGCAGCCAAGATGATGGTTGTGGCTTGCAATCAAAGATTTGCCCTTTTTGCAACACATGTAAAAATAGTGTGGGAGGTTGGACAGCTGTAGTCAGCATCTTGATTTTTTTTGATGACTCATGCTCTGCATGAGTGATAGGTAGAGATTTTCATTTGCTTTAAGATTGCTTTTGTACATGAACAAAAGAATCGATAACAAACATAAATAAATAAGATATCCTACATTTCTGTTATTTATACTAAGAAGGTAGACTTTTAACTAATCTTCTGATTAAAAGCTATGAAATCCAGAAAGCTATGAAATCTGTAAAAAAGGAATCTCAAAATGAAAACTAATGATTAAGTCTATATGGAATGACTATAATATTCTTCAGGAGTAAGCAGCATTGTATTCAGTACTGTTTATTTTTGATTGCATAGGATCGGGTTCAATTACTACATTCATATATTTTTTTATTTGTTGGGCAAATGGCCCAAAGGCAGAAGCTGTACATGTACAATTGAAAATATTTAGCATCTACCAGGCACACCAGAGTCTTGATTGCACTGAGAAGGCCACATACTTTCAGCATAATGAATGGAGGTTTTCCATAAGGTCTACTTCCTAATATATAAAAGTTTAGGGATGCTGCTTGCAGATAGCTGTGATTTTTAAAAATTTATTTCTGAATTGCAGATTTTGAACAAATGAGTAAATAGGCTAGTTTGCTATTCAAAGTAGTGGTATGCTTTTCTGGGTCCAAGGAACTCTCTATCAGGTGTCTCGGTTAAAAACTGATATGTGTGTGGAGGGAATAGGGAAATATGACTGATCTTGGGGTGTGTGTACCTGTTATTTTTTGGAAAGAGAACACATTATTAGATAAAAATGATTGTTAGATTATATTGGGAGTTATCCTAAGTCTTCCTGATAAAAGAGTGTTGATTTTGACAGCTGGGATTAATCGTTCCAAAAATGTGAACTTCCAAAATATTTGCTTGTTTTTTCTGTTCCAACAAACCTGAGAGAACTTCTCGGAATCTCTTAACTAAATTCTGTACTTGATCAGAATCTAGTGACTTCAACTTATTCTAATTAAGAATGTCAACTGCAAAGATATGGATTAAAGATCTTTCTTTTCATCAGCCTGCATGGAAATCCTTATCTAGCTGTGTTTCTCCCATCAGCAAAGTCTACAAAGGGGATGCAGGCTACTGCAGTTCGTATCGGGGAGAGGTGTGTCGTGGTTTGTTGGCAAAGGAGGCATTTGTTTTCTTTAATACTTCCTATGGAGACCCTGAGGAGACCCAAGAACTGCTTGTTCGCACAGCCTGGGCTGAGCTGAAAACCGTGAGTCCATTTTGCCGTCCGGCTGCTGAGTCGCTGCTGTGTCACTACATCTTCCAGGAGTGCAACCCCTCCAGGATTGGACCTGCTCCAAAACCTGTTTGCAGGTATCAGAAGTCAACGAAACACTTTGTTTTTGATTCTTGGCTTATTATTCTTGGCACATATTATATGATGTTCTGTTGCACACACTGAATTTGAGCAGTGTGGCTCAAGTAGACTTCTTTTCTTGAAAATTTGATAGGCTTGGGAAGACACTCAAGAAAAGCTCAAATTTTGTGTACAATTAAATAATCGCATTTCAGCATACAGGTACGATGTCAGTATTTATCAGTTTTTAGTGTGCTTCTGGACAAATCCAGGACATGAAAAGTTGTAGTCAGAGGTGGTATTCAGCAGGTTCTGACCAGTTCTGGAGAACCAGTAGTGGAAATTTTGAGTAGTTTGGAGAACCGGCAAATATCACCTCTGACTGGAGATTTTACAATATCCTTCCCCTGCCACGCCTACAGAACCGGTAGTAAAAAAAATTGAATCCCGTCACTGGTTGTAGTATAATTATTACTATGAGGTCTCTATGAGACCTGCAATGTATTTTACTTACTATACATTGAATAGGCTAAGTCCAAGTCAACTAGTTAGCTCCATGGTTGACTTCACCACTATTCTACACACCTTGGTATAAATATGTTCATATAAGCAACGATGTGAGTGCAGTTTAGAATTAATGGATATATTTGAAATCCAGAGGGTCTGCACTGTACTGTACTTCTAATTCTTGCACAAAAGCCAACTTCTGCTCAACTGGGTCAGAGTTTTTAATTTGATGTTCTGTTTTCAGAGTGGGGAACTTAGATATTGAGAAAAAAAAATCCTAACAAATAAGAAATGCGCATGATGTAACTTGACAATAAATGTGTATTTATTGTGAAATGATGGAGTAAAGTAGTTATACCATTGAAAAATATGCTTTGGACCTGTTTTGAGTTAAAGGTTGTTTAGCACGGGGGAGGCATGGAATTATTGGAATCAGACCAGTAATATTTTCCACTTTTGAATCATGCAAGAGTATAGATTCCCAGGTCATTCTGAAAACATTATGCCTTCTCAGATACTTTCTGGAGTAGGTTTCTCCCTTCACCTAGCAACTCTGTACACAAAGATTGTCAATCATTGCTACCCCCACCTGTTAGCAGAGTATGAATTATAGCTTTCTGTTTAGCTTACAACTGCAGTTAGCTTTTTGTGAATGGGTGCTTGGTCATTGCTGTTGACAAAATATGCTGATACATGTATACAAAATGAATAAAGAAAACAAAGCCAAAAGGTGGGCACAGTTATACCAAAAACAGAATCCAGGCAAGATTTAAAGGATAATTAAGTCGATTTCAGTGTACATAACAGATCTTCCACTAGTTTAAAAGACATTGATAATCAATATTCCAATGCCAATCTTATTTATACCAGTCTGTGGCTGTGTGTTTATATACTATCCATTGTGATTGCAATATTGTGATTGTGTGGCTGACTATGCATTCCACTGTTGTTTATAAAACGATGTAGAGAGCATTGCCTTGCTGTAAAGGATCTCTACTGCTTTAAGGAATGGCTGACGATGGAAGAAAATGCCCGCAAAGGCATTTACAAGCCGGCACTGATGTTGCTTACTTTGCCAGAGTGTAACAGACTTCCCAGCATGCACCAGGAACCGACCGTCTGCACCAGGATCCCACATTTTGGTAAGTGCCTCAGTAAATTGCATGACTCTGCAATAAAACACCCTCCTCCAAACAGTCTGGCTGTCCCTCACCCTTTTTATTCTTCTGGAAAGCCATCTAGTCCTTAATGGGTCTAAGTTTACATGGAGGGAAGTAAGCAGTGGGGTACCACAAGTTCCATCTTAGGCCCAGTACTCTTCAATATATTCATTAACGACTTAGATGAGGGAATAGAAGGGGAACTTACCAAATTTGCAGATGATACTCTGCTGGCAGGAATAGCTAACCCCCAAGAAGATAGGCTCACTCGAACACTGGGCCATATCTAACAAAATGAAATTCAATGTAGGGAAAAGTAAAGTCCTACACTGAGGCAAGAAAAACCAAACGTACACATATAGACTGGGTGAAACCAGGCTCAATAGCAGTAACTATGAGAGGGATCTTGGAGCCTCAGTGGACAACCAGTTAAATAGGGGCCAACAGTGTGCAGCAACAGCCAAAAAAGCTAATGCAATCCTAAGTTGCATTAACAGAGGGAGACAATTGAGATCAAGTAAGGTACTAATATCACTCTATAAAGCCTTAGGAAGACCACACCTAGAGTACTGTATCCAATTTTGGTCACCACGTTATAAAAAAGATGTTGAGACTCTAGAAAAAGTAGAGAAGAGCAACCAGGATGATAAGGGGACTGGAGGCTAAAACATACAATGAACGTTTGCAGGAACTGAGCTTGGCTAGTCTAGTGAAGAGAAGGACCAGGGGAGACATGATAGCAGTCTTCCAATATTTGAGGGGCTGCCACAGGGAGGAAGGGGTCAAGCTATTTTCCAAAGTGCCTGTAGGCCAGACAAGGAATAATGGATGGAACCTGAACAAGGAGAGATTTAACCTGGAAATGAGGAGAAACTTTCTGCAAGTGAGAACAATCAACCAATGGAACAGCTTGCCCTCGGAAGTTGTGGGAGGGCCATCACTTGAGACTTTCAAGAAGAGATTGGACTGCCATTTGTCAGAGATGGTGTAGGGCAGGGGTCCCCAACC